CTTAAATCAGCCTTAAATCGTGTGTTAGGTGAGTGATCTCAGAGATTATAGTTAAAACGACGATGACTGTTTCAATGTTACCGATAAAGGTTGATCTTGTTCTATGATAGTTCATTAGAAAGCTTCCCCAAGCAAACAGTGAAAATGCATTTCGGATCGTTGATGTTTTGATGGTGATATTATAGGGTGACTGCGGTTCTATTTCTCATATATAAAGTGACTGGGACTGTGACATTTCAGATTCCTTGGCCAGGATTGGTTTTTTTAGATCATATGAGCGAACAGTGTTTTAGGATGATAGGAGAGATGGTCAAGTTGCTGTGGTGGGAGGGGGGGGGGCAAACGATTATTCTGGAATGTAATGGGTAGATTTCATGCATGTAGATTTAGCTTTTGTTGCATGCTGTGGTTGGCAAGTAGCGTTGCTATTTATGGCAGAATTGTTTGAATGATGGGATTGAGGGGATAGAAACGTAAAACCGCCGTCTCGATTCTAAATCTTTTTGAGTGTTGGGATCTCTTTCTGTTGTAAATTAACGAGAATGACCTTAGAACGTTTGTTAACGAATAATACAATGATAAAAGGAAGGCAGTGGAGGCAAATTAGCGAAAAGGTGACAGAGAAAAGTAAATAAACAAATTGTGTATAAATGATAATTAAGCATAAAAAGCATAAAAAGAATAATTAGATCGTCTCGAATGAAAAGTTTGGAGAATAACACTTAGCATCAATAACAATTCTAAGCAGTAGTTCATGTTGATTCACTCGTGATATTTCGTGCAGGTTGATGAAGGTAAAACTTGAGTTCATCGAGCAGCAACTGCTGCTTAAGATCTCCATTTACCACATCGGGTCTGTCACTGGTTTGCATCTCTTGAACATCGCTGTTGGCTTCATCAATTGATTTTGAAAGTATCACCAAATTATAGACTTTCACTTGACATATCAGCATCTAAGTTTAAACCTTTCTCGAATGAAATCTACAATTATATTCTTCGATGCGTATCGCATGCACTTGTTTACAATCCCGATTATAATCGGTCTGTAAACCTGAATATGGAAATAAAAGTGAATTTCATGCCTGCCAGTGGCTCGCTTTGTGCCATTGACCTGACATCATCCGAAGATACTCCAGACATCAACGGTTGCTCGAGCAGTTGTTGTCTGCACTGCGTTAACTCTTCAACTGACATAAAGTGATCATGATATTTCGTCATTAGCGTGTTATTCTGAACGTCGAACGACATGAAACAATGGAATAAAAACGTGATACTCAGCATTATCTCGAACGTATCAATTATTGAATATCGAACGTCTCAATTACTGAATTAATTATCAGATAACCGAAAGAGTTCCATTATTCCTCAGTATAACTAAGAAGATGTACATCATCCAAATGATCAACCGATCAACTTCATTTGAAGTTCCGCAGCTAGCCACGTCGAGCTGATGAAAGATGTAGCAATAAAATCTTGCGTAATGCCATTTTCAAATTGAAGTGAAGAGATGAAGTAGATTCATTTAAAGACAAAAGTGATTCAAAAAAAAAGAATTGTAGAAAAATTAAAAAATACTGATGTCAGTCATAAGGAATAGCAAAGAAGTAGCCAGATGAACTGGAATAAATTCCAGAGAACATTGTGATTTTTTCAATCCACTGCTACAGCTCCCTTCTCTCTTCAGCTTTATTCAATTTCCAAAATCTTGGATATGTCACCTTAAAACTTCTTGGGATATACCTTAATCCTTCAAAAACACAAATCTAAACATCAGGTAAAATTTAGAAACAAAATTCCAAAAGTTCTAGCGGTGCGGATCGAACCACACCTTTCCATGCGACAATGCATAGCGTTACCCCTACACTACGACGCACCTAATGCGTCACATTCCTATGAAACAGACAAAGATGGATTCTGAAAAAAATGCCATCCTTCCCCACCCTCCTCTTTTCCGAATGCTAAAAATTTAACACAAGGATACATTGAGCTGGGTCCGAACAAACGAACAAAATCTGACAATTTGAATTCAGAATTCGTTTTCCTTTTCCTCTCAATCTTTTAATTTAAACAAGAAAGTGCATTTGAAGGATTGTCAACATCGGCTAACGAAACGAAGAAATGAAAAGGAAATAAAGAAAACCATTTGACGAAGAATGCATCGCATATTTGTTCCGAATAATTCGATCTTATCACGATTAAACCAATCCGAGATCCACAACTTGATGCTCAACTGCAGTTCTCCAGATCGATATTGAGCCTGATCGAACCGATCCGCGATTGAGAACCTCAGTTCAACGTGACCAATGAAATTTAATACCGTAAATGTAGACAACCGAGCGCGATGACATTTTCAGTGTGGGGAATATTGGTAATTCATAAAAGTTGTGGGATGAACGAGTTTTGGTGACCAAAATTTCGCTCACACCAACGAAGATGAAGCTAAAGGGTGATTTAGATCAAATTCACAATAAACAATACGTTCACGATAGATAGCTCAATGAGAAAACAACAAAAAAGGCAAATGCAAAAATAACACTAAAACATAATGAAAATGATAATGAAAGTAGCGGTAATAAAGTACTACCAATAGCCGTAACAGAAGCACTGTCGAGAATCACATCGCACCCGCTGACGGAATAGCAAATATCCAGTAACGATGGCGCTCAGTCTCGTTGCTATTTGAAATATGTCCATTTGAAATTAAACCGAATGAAAACCAAAAGTTTTCTTCCTGTTATTTTGAATATCGAGAGAATTGGAACAATGAAGTTAAAACAAGATACTCTATAATATCTTATTATCATCTGAAAGAGTTCGATTATTTTCTAATATAAATAAGAAAAGATACGTCATCAAAATCACCAACCGATCACCCTTATTTGAAGTTCTATTGTTAGCCTCCACCTTCACGTCAAACTGCTGAAAGATGTCGTAATAAAATCTTGTACAATGCCATTCCAAACAGAAATGGGATGATAAAGTAGACTCATTAAATGAAACAGCATTCATCTGGGAAGAATCAAAAAAATTTAAAAATATTGAAGGCAATGATCAAAAATCATAAAGAAGTAGTTGATTGAACAGTAATAAATTCCTGGAGAGTAAATCTTCAATAATGACGTCTCCATTATACGACAGCGGCCGAATACAGTTGATCTGAATGACAATCAAGTAACCTTCATCTGATGACATCCTCTTGTTCGCCTGCTATGGGGCCATCGATATTCAAAACGATCCACCAATCTTTGAATCTTGTGCCTTCCACCGCCAGATTCCTGAAAGCTGATTTGTTAGAAATGAAGTGACAGATTGCGATAAACGAAACACTAATTGCATCCGAAATACTCAGTCGCACTATTAGCAGAATCGTGCTACTGAGTATTTCGGTTGAACGATTATTGGAGCAATTTGGATTGAATGAGAACGAGCAAAAGTAAATGAGTGAACGAATGAATGACCTGCCAAACTGGTTCAATGGCCAATCGAATTTCACGAATTCAGAGCCGAGTTGTTCTTCAGCGATCCACTGTCCTCGATCCACGCGATCTGAAATCAAACAGATTAGACTTTGAAAAGAGAAATTTAATCAATGAGACAAGACGCTATTAGACGTAGGCGTCCACGCGGGACGCAGAAGTGAGTAACGGTGAGATCCGAAGGCTCACCACGCTGTCGGATCTCGTCTAACGGCATCCCGCCATTGGGTGAAAGGAATAAATGAGACAATAAAAAATGCAGATTTTTTATTGTAGATCAATGGATCATAGTGAGCGATTTGGCAAAGTATGAGCGGCACATCTTTCAGCAAGGATTTACCTCATTATTGATGCGTAGAGTTTGTTGTTAATGGATCGCATAATTTTGACATTTTGCTGGAAGATGAACGATTTGTTGCCAGGTATTATTGAATGACGATTCACCAATGCAAGATCTCTTAAAAGGCCAATGAATTTATCGATAAGGTACCCAAAAGCACTAATGAATGGCGATTATCGCGCGGATGTGTGCACAACTCATCCAAAGAAATCATCTTGAAGTGCGCATAGAGAAGGCAAATTAATCATCACCAGCAAGAACTTTGTCGTAATCATTCAAAACAGGTCACATCCTCTGTCATTTTGCATTTATTTTCTCGCTGAACCTTAATAATGAGCCTATCCATAAATAAATAAATTGAAAATTAAAACGAATTTAAAGTGATACCGCTAAAATCCTTACCTTCAAATTGTTTGTAATCGCGGCTTCCATTCATCCGGATGCGGTAGATTCAATGCATGAAAATGAACTGTTTTATAATTGCACTGTTTTATAGCCAAACTTCACTCAATTTTTGGTGAAATAGTTAAATAATTAATTAGTGCTGAATTAATTACTGGCACAGTTTGGATTAGTTGATCCATCCAATGTCTCCGATCCACGCGATCTGAAATCAAACATATTAAACTTTGAAACGAGAAATCTGATTAATGGGACAGTATCGTACAGGTCCACGACGATTAGTCGTGGACGCATCAGCAATGCAATCGACTTCATCAGCTCGCAACTTCAATTTCTTTCACAATCTCATACTTGCTGGTATAAAGCTATCAATCATCCCCCAAACAGGTGAACAGGCCCATAGATAAGACGAGTCAAATCTTCTGAAATATTTAATGACATTCGACGATTCTTCAAAATTTGTTCATAAAATAAATTTTCAACAAGGATGATTTTTTCTGCAAAATTTTCCGAAAATACGTTTCGTCGAATAGCATAAGCAATGCTGCCGCATATGAACTCATCAGGTCATTTCTTCAACGCGCTGAACTTCACCATGCAGTTGGCCATCAAAAACGATGAGTTCACGGAAGAAACATTGATTTCTGGATACTCCTGAATGAAGAAGCACTCTGACGAAACAGAGGCTCTAAAGCAACGATATAAGGATTCACGTGAACGTTATGCTCAAGCATATCAACAAATAACAATTTTTGGAGATTGTGATTTTACCACGATTGCTTGCATCGTAGTTAGAAAAGAAAAACGTGAAACTGAAGGGGTTTTCGAAATATCAATTTGAGAAGCAGTTGCAACACACTGTTAGAGATATAACAATATATGACTGGAATGACCAATCAAAGATTCAGAAAAGTTTCATGGGTAGATCGTCACACATGTTTTAGGCATAGTAAAACAAATCTGGAGGAGTG